TAACAGCAAAAAATCCATCGACTGAGGGGTGGTGATGGACCAGTGTCATTGTACACTGTTTCATCACCACATACGCCTCCCTCCTTGCTTCAATGCAGGGCTGAATGTGGGGCGGGGGTCACTGACGACAAGGACGTACCTCCGAAACACCGGTGTATGACCCTGGCGTAACAACCTCGTTTTTGAGCTTAAATCATTCTTTTTTGGAATTATATTGAATCTAATGACAAAAAAAAATGTGAGGAGAATGTGGGAAAGCGTGTTCAACGGGATAACTGTGAACTCTATCTCGATTTTCTATGCACGTACCCTACTCGTCTTCATCAAACACGCTTAAACATCATGTAGTGGGAAGCTGCGTGCGCTTTGACTGTGTGGCACTACCGCCCCCGATCACTCTTCCCTGATATTCTGACAATCAATCCGGTCTTACCGTTTCAGTTTATTTTCTTCAGAATCTTTCAAGATTGAAAGAAATTCTCCACTTTTGACAGCTGTATGCTTCCCTGTCTTACTGCGATGAGTTACCAACTTTTTGCGGAATGGGTAGCAGATATATATGTATGTGGTAAAAAGGTCGAAATGTACCGGACACTTGATGCAAAATCAGGTACTAAGAACCACAATATTCTTCATTGGAAAATGTCTTTCACTGCATACGAAATTGAGTAGTCTCAAAAACATGACCTTTAAAAAAAATCTGGGCAATAAAGAACTATTAGTAGCTATGAAGAAATCCAAAAATACATCAAAATATTGCATTAGAGAGCGGAGGAAAAAGTCACGAAGAAGACGTGGTCGTTTCATAGTTGGTAGCAGAATGAATGAATGATCGCAATCACTTTTCGTAATTTTGTGACGAAAGTTTGAATGTCGTTCCACGTACCAGCTACAAACGCATCACGCATCATCGGAAATGTATTTCCAGAGACAAACATATACAAAGAAACATCATAATTATTGATCACTTCTTGGAAAATGTATTGGGAACTTTGCTTTTTTAGAGCCGATTTTTCAGGTGTACACTATGGGCATTCACGAGTGCAGGATTTCTCATGAGTATTGCCTATCTCGATCCAAGGAACATCGAAAGTGATCTACAGTCTGGTGCAAAAGCTCAGTTCAAAGTAGGATAATGTTGAACGTTTGGAATTTATTTGCTTACCACCAAAGTTTATGAAGAGAGTGGTTATAGAGGTCCTTGTACTGAAACGATTCTTAGATGTTTGGTAGGATGTACATATTTCACTTCCATATTATGGGTTTTACTTTCCGCTCAAGTTATTGGAATGTTGCTGCAACGAATGTCGGCTCGACTAGGTGTTGTAGGTGGAAAGCACATGGCCGAGGTGTGCGCTAGTTCTCTTTTTTTTATTGCTCCGATTCTCTTATTTTTAACAGAGTTTTCTAGTGAATATTTTTTCTAGTTAGGAATGAGTAATAAACTTCTTGGTAAGATGTACTCTCCAGATGTCACATGATTTCTATCCTCGTACCGCTCGCTTAATTTTATGGGTAATGGTTGAAATTGCTATCATTTGTAGTGATTTGCAGGAAGTCATCGGAACTGCAGTAGCAATCTACCTAGTCAGCAAAGGGTGGTATGTTTTTTTTTTTTTTGATTAACAGTAAGTTCGTCCATATGTTAACGGTCGATAAATACATCGAATAATATATTATATAAGCAGTACAAAGGGATTTGTATTTGGAAAACATTAAGCTATAGATTCTACTGGTTTTTGGTTTAATGAACAAAGTTCACAACGATTTAAGATATGGAGGATATTATTGATCCCTGGCATTGACTGCTTTTAAAAACTCAGGAAAAACAATGGAGGATTATAGGTGAACGCAGCCATTGTTCCTGTCGTACGCTCTAATGTCAATCACGGAAATGTGAATATAGAAACCATTCAGAAACAAATTCTTCCAATCATTTCCCCGGCTACATGAAGATGAGCAACTTCGACAAAAAAGCAAAGTTTTGCTAATAAATTATACTACACGAGCATCTTGGGTTCTCGGACAGTTTTCTCTTCTTGTACTTTAGTCACTGCTGCATAGTGCTAATTTTGCTACAAATATGAACCTGTTCAGTATGGACGTTTTCGGCTATGAAAAATTTATTTTAGTATTTCATAGAATTACTTGTATTTGGTTTTCGTGAAGCATCAAGCCACCATTAATGGTAGTTATGCGTAGTAAATCAAAGATCCAAACTACTAATGGTTATATGTTGAGCTATAGCTCACAATTTGATATTGCTACTCGTTTATCGTTAAACTTTTATTTCTAATTCATTTTTTCTTAATAAATGCATATTCATTTACTTAGTAAGCAACTCAGCAGTTCGACTTGCATTGCCCGTGTTCAATAGCAATGATGGTTTCGAATGATATTCCATTTTCCTTTTATGGAGGCACTGCGGCCGGTTGTAATCACTAGGAACTCAGCCATGTTATTTCTTATTGTTGAAGATTTAGGGTTCCACTATGGGCAGGTGTGCTGGTCACTATAATTGACACATTCACATTTTTATTCATAGACCGATATGGTGTACGCAAATCGGAAGTAGTTTTCGCCATTCTGATCTCAACTATGGCTTTATCGTTTGGGTACGAAGTACGATATTGTGACACACACTTGACTATTTTAGTTCTTTGAGAGTTGATTTATTCAAAATACAAGCGATCATTTCACTACACTTTATCCTCCACTTGGCCCATTTGTTGCTGATTCGGCAAAATTTATCTCCAGTACCGAGGAACCCGTTCGATGGCGTTCTCGTCCACCAACACCACTCGTTTTTCTTTGCTCTCAGTACGTCTTCGCTCTGGAATAAATATATGAGTGTCATATATTGAAATAACTGCAAGAATCTGCTCTAAGCTATGGTGAATAAAACCTTAAATGCATGGAAAATAATTTAAAAAAAAAAAACGAAAACGTCCGCGAAACCTTTTGCGAACGCCTTTTTTGGAGTAAAGAATAGAAAAACGCACGGTAATACAGCAAATAGAACGATAATAAAATCACTTACAAATATGTAAAATGAACACAAATATAAGCTTAAATGTCAATCAGCATAATGAATGTATGAATATAAAGATAAACATTTGAAAACAAATAGATAAGCTAATATATAAAAATAGATGACATAAGCACAAATTGTAATTGTAATGAGTACAAACATAAATAGAATCCAAATAATCTGAGTGATATGGAAAACAACTGAATTCCAGACAGGAGACGACTGTTAATTTAATCGTCCGTATGTGAGACCTCCACTGAAGAAAAGCGGCGCATATGGCGAAGTGGTTAGAGACGCGCGGCGACCCTACGTGATCAACCAATCGATAGTTGGTGGTTCGATTCCGTGTACAAGGCAGTCTCATCAAGCCTTCCACCGATAAGCGATTGATCGACACGAGATAAAGAGATAATCGAATACAGGATTAAAGCATGATGAGCCGAAAATCAAAATACGTTAACGCTTGCCATAAGGTGAAGCTAAGGGAGCATGCGGCGCAGTGGTTAGAGGTGCGCTGTGTGGCACACGATGTCGATGGTTCGATCTCGCACTCATAGTTCACCTAGTCTTTCCTCCCTGAGAGGTTGGCAAATTGGTGTCTTGCTTGTATGGAAGGATGAAGAGCAGTGACGTATTGAAGACGAACTCACAATTTGAGTTTAGTGAGAAGGTGATGGCGGTGTCACGATATCCGTGGTGTGTAATGATAAGCTAGCTCTCTTGGTATGGATGAGAGTCGGGTTCGACTCCCGTCTGGGATCTAAAGTTATCGAAACAAAGGATAAAGTTCACGTGGTTGATCAATTCCTGAGGGATGCGCCATGCATTGGACTCCATTCGCAGCATCATTTGAGGTGATTGGATGCATATGTGGCCTCCACAATGACTCGCGTTGGCCTCCAGCGGTATCGAGTCAGTCAGTGCTGTTTATCCTCCCAGACAAATCTGAGACTCAGTCTGGTACCAATTTACCGACCCCGGTGGAATAGATGGCTTGGTGAACCATGAACACGAGATTGAACCATTAACCTTATGTGCAACGCAGAGCATCTCTAACCACTGCGCCACATGCGCTCTTCAATATTCCCAAAAGCATGTTTTATAACATAGCTAACAAGCAGTCAAATAAAGAATTTTATAGCCCGAAGAATAGTTTTTTTTTCATTTTTTTTGCTAATATCACGAAATTAAGATGAAAAGTTAGTTCGGCTTCACCAATAATTTTTACATAGATCTCATGGTGGTAATTAGCTAAAGCATAAAAAACTACTGTCGAATGGTAATGTAAAAACTGAAGAGAGCGTGTGGCTCAGTGGTAGGAGATGCTCTGCCACAAACACGTGGTCGATCAATCTCTGGTTCGGTCACGCGTTGAAAGCTCACCAAGCGCTGCAGCTCTCCGAAGTCGGCGGATCGACACTAGACTTGTCTAGATACCAGAGCTGACTTGATCATCGGTAGGCCACTGCGAGTCATGTAAAGGCCATGTTGGCTTTCAATCACCTCATAGGATGCTATTCTGAAAAGTTTGAAGGAAAAAAACTTCACTAGGAGGTCGATGGGGGATGTGACTGAGTGGTTTGCCATACCGGGTAGCTCATGTCGAAGAATGAAAGCGAAGCGGTGGTCTTGGTGGTGTAGTGGCACCACGCCCCTTGATGAAACGCGAGTTCAAAACTCGGCCGAGGTCAAATTCTTGCCTACCAGTTAATCTGCTTAGATGGTGATTTTAGCATCATGTCACTGACAAAAAGTAGTTTTGCAGAGACTGAATGTAAGGAAACGAACGACCGCTAGCAGTGCTGTGATTGGCATGGTAGAAAAATGTGATGACGTATCGTGTAAAATGAAAAAAAAAGAAAAAATGGGAAATCAAGTAAAGGAGGGCGTACATTTGGAGTAAAATCGATAAGCTCTCTTGCTGATAGATTGATACGTTGTAGCTTGGAGAGGAGTGGTCACAAAATAGGTGTCAGTAGTGCAACGGGTCAGAGCACACGCTCTCAGATAGGGAGGAATGCGGGTTTGAGTCCCGCCTGACGTCAAAGTTTTGCACGTCACTCAACATCATTGGGTGTACGTGTAGCAACACACGACTGCTAAAAAGCGGTAAAATATGAAGAATTCTTGCTGCTAGCAAACTAAAATTCCAACCTAACGATATTTCAGATCGTTGAAATCACAGCTAGTAAGTTTGTTCAAGAGAATGGTGGTCGTATTATCGTTAACGCGATAGCATCCCTATCACAGAAACACCTGAAGACGCCACTGTGTACCACCATAAAAATAATGACTTACTACTAGTGTGTTCAACTTCGGCAACTTCATCTCTGAGTTTTTATAATTGTCTAAAGCACAACTTAAGAGGGCTTTTCCCATATTTGTACCAGTAACCAAAATTTATACAGACAATCGAAGTTATTTTGAGAGCTTGAAGCTTGAAGGAGGCACAAGCAATCGTCTTCATAGCAATAATAGAGCAACACCTTTTCATTATTGCTAATTTTAGCCATTCTAGTGACTTGCTGGTATCGTTTATAATAGAAGACATCACAACTTTGACATTAGTGCCGTGATTTCTGCAGTACAGCTAACTATAATAGACTCTGTGTTGTAAAAATAATATGATTGCTTAGTCAACTAACGTTTTTATTCATACTGCAGCGCTATATATGTTTTAAAGGTGTATAAGCGTGTAGGGTAAGCCGTTCTCTACCAAAGTAAAATGAAAGACCCAGAAATTTTTATAAGACGGAGATAAAAACGTTGATTAAACAACGTCAGTCTCGCGCGCAGCTAATTCTATTGCCGTCGCGAACGGACTAACTTTTAAAAAAGGGCGAGTTTCGGCGTGTGAGGCACATGCTAGCTAGGAGGCAAACATGTGTAGTACAAATGTTGACGCATGCTAATTGAAATGTGTCAGATTGCGTGTAGGTAAAGAAAAAAGCACAAAAGCATATATCTTATTTAAAATCAGCGCATTAAAGTCTGAAAGAACAACATCAACATCACATACTGAGTGCTTTGATGTCCGAAAGGTTGACCATACATGAAGTGGTTTTGGTGAGTTTTGATTTCAGCGCTGACTTCTCGTAATGACCTTGCTTTGTTTGAGGAAGAAAGAAGAACAGTCGTTGACCTGCCATGGATCGCCGGATAAAGCTTCTTTACTAAACCTTATGTATTCATCCATAGCATGAATAAAGATTTAAATGATGAATTGCGAGCCGGATGGCGAGCGCAATTTTTTAACTCTAAGAATAGGCATCACTTCACTCGCAATGAGAGTGTTAATTATATGTGTCATTTCATTGAATGTCGACGTGAATTTTTTCAAATGTATTCGGTAAGAAACAGTTTTTATTAAAGCACAATTTCGCTGACAAGTTTTATTACTTTGAAAAGCAGACTATCTTCGGACCGCATGAACAATAGATAAGTCTCTTGTGTGTAAGACACAAAGTTGCTATGAGAATTTATTTAGCAAACGTTCTGATGTCTTCGCCTTCTTCGGAGCCAATGATTAGAGATGACTGCCCATGGTGGTTCACCTTCATTGTAGTCTTCGTCCTCGTTGTTGTCATTTGAATCAAATCTTCGGGGGAGAAGCGTTCGAGCGATTCACTTGAAAATGCTCTCTTATACAGCAGTTATTGATTGAAACTGATAAAAAAACAAAGTACATTGAAAATAATGTGATATTAACATACAGTCAGATACATGTAGCACTTTTAAAACTCGAATAACAAAAAAGATACTTCAGTTGTGTTAATTCGAGGGCGGTCAGAAGTAGAACAACAAAACCTACAGTTAATATTCTTCTTGGCTCCGGCACTGATTTTGTCTGAATCACCAGATTCATCACTTTTTCATGATCTGTAGCATTCGATTTGCTTGACCTATACCTGCAAAACGCATTAACTACAGCGGATTAGCATAGACCACTCAATGTTTAACTATTTATTCATCACTGTTGTATGAATTTTTAACAATCGAGTAAGGATTTCGTGTATAATTCAGATATACTATTTGAACCTCCAAACTGTATCAGTAAGTGGTGGGAGTTGTATTTTCAGCCGGCTCTATAATAATTTTCCGTCCTTTCTTGTCGTTGCATACCTTTTTTCACATAGACTTTTTTTCATATGAAATCAGTTTTCTTGGACGTTTAGAGAGTAAGTCGAGGGTTCTATCAAATTGAATATTCCGAATATAATCAGCCTCCGTGCTAGAGTTAGTACATTTTTCATAATATAGCTAATCTGCCATGGTGGGTCCATCTTGCATTTCTAGATGTCCTTGATTATTATAATTCCAATATTGCTTGATTAGAGCACTATTCTAAGTTGAAACCATCCTCACCTTCGTTCTGTTTTCGTATCTGAAATAATTGCCCTTTTTCGTGGTTTTCTGTCGAACCAACGGTATACAGTACCTTTTTAACCCAATGCACATTACTGGATTTTGGAGTCGAGCAGATCGACAACTAAAACTAACCTGAACCTTCTACAAGTATTTCCAAAAAATCTGACATCTTTCCCATCCAGAAGCATTAATATTATTGGAATAACGTCGTCACAGAGTGGGAGGTTCGTTGAAACCATTCTGAATGACCAGGTCTAAGTGAGTAAGTGGAGAGTAGCTGTCGGAATAAACTGATCATGAAAACCTCATATTTGCCTTACAAAGAAAAAAACAAGTGATCGCGGGAAGAAACATGAAGATAAATATATATAAAAAGAACATAAACTGAATGAAATCTCACCTACGGATCAGCAGCTCCTCCGTGGGATTATTTCTGGAGAGCGACCGTCGTTCTCCGAATTGGAAGGGGCACATTCATGTCCGAAGTATACTGAACCAATAAACAGTAATTTAGCTACGTGGGGACATGAATTTGACTTGTCATAATGCCTTTCAAAAGCTGAACATATGTGAATCAATAATGATTTACACGTGATAATGCAATTTGGAGAGCTATTGGTAATCAGCACCTGTTTCTGCTTAATGAGCTGACACGAGACTGCTCAGTGGCCGTAGACGTTTCAGTGGCGTGACCTTTTACAGCCTAGAAGAGTCAAATTTTGACATGAAGTCTATTTACGCATACACTTTCATACTCAGATCAGATGAAATTCAATACATAGATGGTAAATCGGAAAGTAAACCGCTTTGAGGGTTGCTTCGGGGATCTTAGCAAGGTGTTGAAGGGAAAGTTAGTGGGAACATGATAGGATCTGGCAACAACATTAAGCCACTGCGATCTGGATAAGCAGATTAGATTGCGCGCACCCAAGAAGTTAGTTAAGTTGTTGAATCAAAAATGTTATTATTAAATCTCAGTTACATCAACCCATCAGATAAGTAAGAAAGCTAACTCTAGCTATCTTCTACCCGTGGGCAACATATGGCGTTCTTTATCCATAATAACTACTTATTAAGTTTTCAACCTTTTACTCATTACCAACTAATGTGCGAGAGAACTGTCACGACTAAATCTTCGGACGCAAATAAGTACCAGCTTCACAAACGACTACAATAAATGGAACATGGATGATCGAAGCGACAATTCAGTTCGAATTTACTTACCAAGACGAGATGGTCGTTGATGCCGCTTTTGTGTTACTAAATCAGGTGTCGGAGGATTCTGAAAAACGATATGTAATCATTACAGAAACTCCACGTCGAATTGCGTATGAAGCTCAGTGCATCTAAATATCGAAAGAAGACCCGTGCCACCCTTACGCTGAGGTGGATTACGTGCTACAGTAGTAGCCATCGGATCTGACTACGACGTTGACAGCTGCGCCGTGCAGAAACTCCACGACGAATTGCGTATAAAGCTCAGTGCATATAAATATCGAAAGAAGACACCGGGTGAGAAGGAAAACCTTCCAGGAATTTCGTGCCACCCTTACGCTGAGGTGGATTACGTGCTATAGTAGTAGCCGCCGGATCTGACTACGACTATGACGGTTGCGTTGTGCTCGCAGCAACCTGAGTCATGCACGATATCCATGGCTGTGTGGTTGCCATGAGCGGTGCTTGTGGCATTCGATGGTAAAATGCTGCTGAGGGCCTATAATTTGTAAACTAGCAAGGAGTGATCTTTGTAACACACAAAGACACTTGCTCACATAATACTACATTTTGGTGTTTCTGCACTTACTAACCGCGTGCTGCATCATCAGTTCCACAGTGTTGCCCTGCTGGTGCGCACACGAAAGGTGATGGAGGAACACGCTGTTACTGACAGCCCCTGGAACTCTAAACCCTCTATACTTAGCTAAACTGCTCCACAATGCCATATAGATCCTTGCTCTGCCTTTTACCTGTGTTTTAGTCCTTTTAGTATCTCTCAACAATAGCACCGACACGATAGTTTGATTTCTTTACGAAAAGATTAGGAGAAAGATATGATGCTCAACAAATCTCTAGAGCGAGGAGGACACATAGGGCTACTCTAGCACGCGGTAGAGAAAAATGGAAGTGTTGCTGATAACCGCTCAAGTCACTCAACCATCAACGGGACGACAGGTGATACAGGTGCCAATTTGGATTGGGAACATATCAATACTTGGAAGTGAACTTCGTAATCTTCCTAGTTCAAATAATCGACTTTACTACTAGATCTTCTCAATCTCGAAAATTTTAGCATCAAGCAATAAGCACCAAATATTTAATCCAGAAGTAACGAAATCGCTCAACCACACTATGTATATTATGCGCCATCTGCCTGAACAGATTTCTGACAATTGTCAAGTAACCAATCTGATCACTTTGTACAGCATTTTCAGAGCTTCTTTTAAAACCAAATTCCTCCATGTTTACCGCATCATGGCTGCTAAACGAAGCTGTTATCGTAATATACTGCTTTACAGTACGAAATGAGACGCGATACACACGCCACTTTTGAGAAAAATCAACCTTGCATAGGCCCAAGGATTTGTGCCTAGGCGAAAGTTTTACGGAACCTTGTTGAGTATCGTGCTGAGAGATTGACCTGGAGGACAGCTACTTTCCAGATGTTCACGCAAAGTTG